CCCCCCCCCCCCAAAAAAAAAAAAGCATCCAGTGTTAGGGAAGTCAATATACCTTCCAAAATTGCTTGCTAGCATCTTTACCCGCGACACGCTTCAAGATTTTCGCACCCCCGGGGTGCTCATCCACGAACTTGGTCACATCGTACACATTCTTGTCGATGATGATATAAAGGCCTTTGTCGGCGTTGTTGTGGGAAGCGACGTCGGCAGGCGTGAAAGTCTGAGACATTTTTGCTTTTCTTTCTTTTTCCAAATTCCTTGATCACTTCTTCTGCCCTTGGTTTAAGTGGTGTTGTGGTGGTGGTATTGTAAGTACAGAGATAAATAGGTTCTTTTGAATTGGATGATTGATGATGATAATGAATAAATCCGGGGTCAAAAGCGGAGAGATGACGACGGCCTGTCAACTCGGGCGAGTAGGAGCCGAGGTTAACCTCCCGTCTCCGTGCCGCGGTCAGTACTAGTCTTGAGAATTGAAATATCTGTGCCGTGATTGGTTCTTCGTGCCACTACTACGACCTACACGAGCATTACTATCCCTATGGATAAGGATGTATTTGACAGGTATTTCCATTCCAGTGTCATAATAAAGCATAACAATGTCGTCGTGCATATAGTTGCACCTATCTGGTGAGACACTACAGATGATAGCCGAGGTATATCGCCATTCTTTCCGTTCATGGAAGTACATGATAATAATCATACCATCAAGACAAGTTGTCAATAGTCGATAGAAATACATGCGGTGTCTGCTTAGTGGTGATGAGAGCAACAAACGCCAATAATTACACTGCCAGGTATATGGCCCAGTACGAGAAAGAATGGGAATATATATATTAGTCTCGACTCTTCTCGCCTGCCGCTCCTTGTCCTTTCATTTTCCGTTCGAGCCCCAATGTCTCCAAGTCTTTCTTCTTATAGTAGTGCGGCGCGACTTCCACTAACCACTCGGCCTGGAGTGGCATATTGCTCCGCATGTATTCTTTGCTCGTCAGCACGAGTTCGAAATATATTACCCACCGGGGATTGACTTCGAACAGCGTGCTTGAAGGGTGCAAGTATACTGTTTGCCCATTCTTCACCGTCCGGTAACTATCGCCACCGCGTTGCAGGCGCGCTGCGTTCGGGAAGAACCCAGCCGTGATGGCTTTCTGAATCGGTTGCAGGTTGTTCGATCCACATGTATTGACAGTGACCTCGACTCGATCACACAACTTCGCCAGTTGATCGCGTACATCGCGTGCCCGAGTCAAACTGCGTTGCTGCAGGAAGTTTTCCTTCGCCCACACATAGCTGAAGTCGGAATCCACCCATTGATTCCAGATGTTGAGTAATGTCAGATGATCACCGCCATCCTTGATCGTAAACCGATTGCGTGCACTATCCGCGTGTATCTTCTTGTCCTTGGGCCGGAAGAATAAAGCGCTGGCCTCCCCTAACATTGACACAATGGAAAGTACCTCCTCCACACAGCCATATTTGTCCGCCGCCAAGATCGCCTTGGCCAGCATGGGGTCTGTCGGAAACTCCGCCATTTGCCTTCCAACCTTTGTCAGTTCGCCTCTATCATTCAATGCACCTAAAGCATAAAGCTGCTCCAATGCTCTAATAATTGTCTCGGCCGGCGGAGGGTCCATAAAGTCGAAGTCGAGTAACTGATCAATCCCTAGTGACTTGAGCATCAGGATGACGCTACTGAGATTTGTACGCTGAATTTCAGGGGTTGTGCTTTCCTCCAACTCATTATAGTAAGCCCATTTCGTGTAGAGACGGAAACATTTCCCTGGACCAACTCGACCGGCTCGACCGGCTCTCTGGTTGGCAGACGCACGTGAGCACGGTGTTACTACCAAACTTTCCATTCCAGTTCGGGGATTGAAGACATTTTCCTTAACAAAACCTGGATCGATCACATAGACAATACCGTCAATAGTCAAACTAGTCTCGGCAATGTTCGTAGCGAGTACGACTTTCCGTGCCTTCGGCGGCGTCGGCTCAAAAATTTTAGTTTGTAACTCTGATGGTAGATTGGCATAGATAGGGCATATTATCATTTCTGGTATCTTGCTCCCCAATTTCCGCGCAGTCTCCTGCAGGCTCTGTTCAGCCGCCTCGATCTCCTCCTGGCCAGTTAAGAACACAAGGATATCTCCAGGGCCTTGTGTGACATGGATCTGGAAAACAGTTGTGATTGCTGCGGCTAGGTAGTTCGCCTCTGGCTGTGATGTATAGTGGATATCGACGGGATAACGTCGCCCTGGGATATTAAAGATAGGTGCGTCGTCAAAGTATTGCTGGAACTTCTGTGCATCCATTGTTGCAGAGGAAATCAACAGTTTCAGATCTGGCCGTGCCTTGGCAATATCCTTCAACAGACCACAGGCAATGTCCGTAGGCACAGTCCGCTCGTGCGCCTCGTCGATCATCAACGCTGAGTACTGGCCCAAGTCTGGCTCTGTCAGCAGTTCACGTAACAGCATACCATCCGTCATATACTTGAGCACTGTTTTATCGCTTGTGTTGTCTTCGAAACGAATGGCGTAACCGACCTCATTGCCCAACTTCACTCCCATTTCTTCGGCTACTCGAGACGCAACGCTCATGGCAGCGACTCTTCGAGGTTGCGTACAACCAACCTTCATCCCATTCTTTGTGAAACCGGCTTCATGAAGGTACTGCGGGATCTGGGTCGTTTTACCAGAACCTGTCTCGCCGACAATTATTAAAACTTGGTGATCGTGGACTGCTTGGATGATCTCCTCCCGAAATTGATAGATGGGCAGACTTTTCCGCGTATCCTCTATCGATGCCGCCTTCTTCTCGGCAGCGTCGAGCTTTTCTTGAAAAATACGTTGCTCCTGGGACATAGCCTTCCGAGTCCCTTCCATCTTGGCATCCATGACGAAGTTGATCTTTTGCGAGTCGTCAAAAACATACTCGTAGTCACCTTCGTCTACGAACTCTGCCCTGTTGATTTGCGCCTTTGCCTTGGCCGTCTGCTCCATCTCCCACTCCTCATGCTCAGTAATAAACCGCTCTTGTCCATATTCGTCGCGATCCACATAGCGCTTGTAGAGAGCGTCTTCTTTCTTCCTTCGATCAATCTTTCCCTTCTCTGTAATATAGTCATCTGGCATCATATACCCATCGCGGTAATCATCGATCCGTAGCCGCTCCTCAGCAATACGAAGTACTTCACGATTTCTAGCAAACTCCTCTTTCTCTCTCCGTGTCAAATTGGGGTTATCACGCAACTCCGCCGCTTCTTCCGCGACCTGTCTGCGCAGGAGGGCTAGTCGTTCTGTCTCTCGCTTCTTGAGATACTCTTGCCGAGAGCGCATTCTCAGTTCTGGCATAGCGGCAGCTCTAGCGGAAGCATCGTCTGCTAAAGCCCGTCTTCGTGCGACCTCACTATTTCTAGTCCGGTCTTCGACGATGTTCTTATTCTTGCTGTCATCCTTCTTGGCCAACCGCTTCGCGAACTCGTCTCGTTCTTCTATGTCCCGCCGTCGCTCAATTTCCTTCTTTGTATCTGGGTCCAGGTCTGCAGAGTCGGTCGACCGGGGCGACGCAGATCCATCCTCCAGCCTAGTCCGCTTCGACGGCGACTCTTTAACATCGCCGCTTTGCTCATCTTCTTCATATACCTCATCATCCGGAATTTCTTCGTCACCCCAGCGATCATCGAAATCCCCTTTATCTCGTCGTCGCAGCTTCCTGGACCGATGGCGATCCCGGCTCTCTTCCTGGCTCCGTCCGCGCTTCCTGTTTTCTTCCTTTTCCCAGCGATTGTGCCCCCCGGGTTCCTCCTTTGTTCGGTTGCGATCCTTGTCCTTGCGTTTGCGCCTCTCCCTTTCTGTTTCGATGTTCGTGGGCCCTAAAGAGCTTGTGGAGTCTGGATTGTCATCTTCCATTTGAATCAATCGGTACTTCTTTTTCGGCGCGGTATCACTGCGCTCTTGCTGAGCATTGCTGCTGGGCCCGCTCTTTGCGCCCGCGCCCACTCGTTTATACAGTTCCCCACAAAACGCATTAATATCTTCTGTGCTTCCATCCAAGAAAGGAACGAGCTTCTCTTGTAATGAATTCGCTGACTTGGCTGAGCTGGCAGTGGCGAGCACAAAGTCAACGACGGTGGGGTCGGAAACATTGGTAAGGCGGAGGAGAGAATCCGACACGAATGTTCGATTGTCCATATTTAAAGTGGTGCAAATCCAGGATAGACGGTTGGCACTGTATCAATCGGCGATATGACCGCTGTTGAGACTTAAGCAGATGGCACAAGTGTATCTTTATTGTAACCCTCAGTGAAAGCTGCGCGTCATATCAGAATGTGCTTATAAATGCAAGAAAACTAGTAAGAAAAGGTGAACTGAAAGGTCAATAACACAGGGAGTAAAGGAATCGACGTGACTGGCTCTAGAGTGTGGCCGGCCCTTAGGCGCGTAGATGTTACGAAGAATCTCGCCGCCGAAGTCAACCGCCAAGAAGTCGGCTGGTGGCGAGCATAAACAATTGGGGAACGTGCCTTCACATCCCTCAAAGTCTCATATAACATTATACTGTTCTATATCGACGTTCGCATCAAATTTCAGGGGGGAAAATAAAAATAAAAATTATTATTATTATTATAGATCGTTGACTACCTATCAATTGGCGTCTAGAAATGGTTTGCATTCAAGAGATGAATCACAAGCATCACCTATTCTCAAGCCTGCTTGATCACATATCGGTTGTTTCATGTCTCTTATCCTATATCGCTCATTCACAGAAGGGGGCGGAGGAAAAAAGAATAAATAAATAACAGTTGCTGAAAGGGATATGGAAACATAAATGTAGGGGAAAAGGTAATCATTATCAACGCCCAAAGCCGTGAAGAGAACAAGAGTCGAGTCATCAAAACAAAGAGAAAATATAAATCACATATTACACACGGCAAACCTGACTTCCTACTATGCCAGGCTGCGGGAATCCAATCATACAGACATGGGAAGGGCCACAAAAAAGTTGAAAAAAGAAAAAGGATCTCGAACGCTCAAATCAGGGTAACAACATAGGAAATATCATGAGGAAATGAGTGTGAAACCCTTCAAAACCGTTACCGGTCATATCAAGTCAGTGAAATCGTGAAGGGTGGTCGGCTAGAGTCAAAGGATTAAAAAAA